TGGTATTGGTGGGAAGTACTCCACCAATAAGCTTACCCTCCATTTCTTTTCTGATTTATCCATTGCAACTCATCTACCAGGTGTTCCTATTCTATTCAAATCATTCTTAATTATTTCACACACAATTTCTTAAGACTTAAAGATTTCGTCACCCTACTACATGGTTTTATGTTCTATCTAGTTTGCAAACAACCCAGTCAGGTCTAATAGGAATACAGACTTTGTTAGGTCAAGAGAAACAGTTGCTTCATTAATGGCCAATATGCATCAGTCCTGAAACAGAATTCCATTTTCTCCACAAAGACTCATGTTGCATATCTGCAGCTTTTCATCATTTGCTACACCTTTTCTGCAATTTAGGCAACCCTGAATCAACTAAACACTGATTATGTTTCCATTGATCAAAGAGCAATTAGAGTAAAAAGTATTTTTTTTTTAAAAAAAGGAGCAATTAGAGTAAAAAGTATTTTTTTAAAAAAAAAGTCCATTTTATTACAGAAGGTGTACATTTTAGTACACCACCTTTTTAATTGAGAATTTATTTTTAAACAGGATACCTAGTAAATTTTGAATGCTGTATGATAATCCTAATCTAATATAAACATTAAGGCATTTGAAAAAAATTTAAGTCTGTGCCCTTTTAAGGATATATTCCAAAGTTATATATTTAACCCTACAATTTATAACTGACACTTTAATGTTGTTGAATTATGACTCCATCTCTGAATTAATGTGAAAATATCTAGCAGTCATCTCCCAGTTCATGTGCTGAACAAAGTATTGTAGAATTATGCAAGGTAAATTCTGGAGAGGATGGCATCAAAGTTGCTTTCCTTCAGTGGATTTTAACATTCACAGGATTGCTGTTTATCCCTTTCCTTGGGCCAAGCTTGTGCAACTATTCTTGAAGAGAAACCGTTCTACCCAATGCTCCTTATTCACTCAGGTTTAATAAAAGCAGAATCTTTATCTCTGGAAAATTTGACTGAAGCATTCCTGGCTCACTAAAGTCAATTAAGCCTCAAAAAGCAGTAGCTTCATTAGGCAACAAGGGATTCTCCCATTTAGAATAAAGCTTCTTTTTATAGTTTAACAGAAGCTTGGCTTCTGGCACGATCAGTTAAAAGGAACCAGGGTCCACTGACTTAGTCAGCTAAACATTCAACTGAAAGTTTCCGTTAAGTAAGCCTATGGAATGCAGCAGGTCATAAAATCTGCTCAGACCTTTCATTCAAACCAACCCTCTGACAATGCCTGGGAATTTGAAAGCCTAGTTATAGTGTATTACTGATTGCTACCATTAAGAAATTTGCTTGCACTAATTCAGTAAATACTGTCTACAAAATGACAAACATTCCTGTACTTGCTAAATATAACAAGGAATACAAAGAAAGTTATTTTTGTTCCCATGAAAATAATTGTACAAGTAAATCAGAAGATGAAACTTATGGATGTAGAGTTCTACCCCCAAAAAATATTTATTTTAATCCAAATAGGATAGGATTAGCAATGTTCCAATGAGAGGGTGTGCGCATTTTCTGGGTCACTTTCATAACCTTGCCAGCACAGTGTTAAGTCTTCCAATATGAATAATTTCACCATATTTTCAGTTTACAAAAGAATCCTGAGAAGGTGACTGGATTTTATGGGATGTTTATGTCACATTGAACAACTCTAAATTCACATACTGTATCATGGGGGGGGTTCTCAAACTGGAGGTTGGGACCCCTAAGAGAATCAAGAGGTTACTACATGGGAGTCATGAGCAGTCAACCTCCATCCCAAAACCTACTTTGCCTCCCATATTTATAATAGTGTTAAAAAAAGTGTTTTAACTTATGGCGGGGGGAGGAGAGGAGAGAAAAATCACACTCAGACTTGCTATGTGAAAAGGGTCACGTGTACAAAAGATTGGGAACTACTGCTGTTTCATAAGTCCCACCACAGATTTTAGTAGATATGTATTTCAAATGCTGTTGAATGCCAAAATTGATCATTTCAGAAGGGAAGAACAAAGGCAGATGTGGGTGTGCTGCAGTTTTCAGTCTTAATGCATTAGGATATTATACATTCAGGTTGCATTAACAGCAGCATTGACTAGGCCCTGCACCATAGGTAGAACCTCTCTTGTCCAGCAATCTCGGGACCTGAGTGGCCCCAAACAATGGAGTTTGTTAGACAAGGGGAGGTTAAGGCTCCCCACTCAGCTGTAGGTTGTGCTCCCAGCTAGGGCTGTGCTCCCTGCCACTGCCTCCAGCCCCCCACTGTGCCAGCCCTGACTGGGGCTACATCTCCCACCGCACCAGCCCCGGACAGGGGCCAGCCCAGATGCCTCTAACTCCAGCCAGGGCTGCACCCCACATGGCACTGGCCCAGGTTGTGCGCCCAGCTGCCGGCCCCACTAACACCAGCCCTGGCTGGGGCTGCACTCTTCACCACCAGGCCCAGCCAGGACTGCACTCCTGACTGCCAACCATGCTGCCTCCAACCCTGGCTGAGGCTTTGCTCCCCACCCCCAGTCCTGAGAGAACTTCTGCTGCCACCACACCAGCCAGAGCTGCATTCCTGGTCACTAATCCCGCTCTGCTTCCGACCCCAACTGGGGCTGGACTTTGCTGTCAGGGCCAGGGCTGTGCTCCCCACCATGCCAGTCCCGCTGGGGATGCTCTCCCCACTGCCAGCCCAGACCAGGCTGTGCTTCTGAATCTGACCAGTTGGGGATCTCTGGTCCAGCAATGTCTGTGCTTCTCCCAGACCACAGACCCTGATTTTAGAGGTTCAGCCTGTAATGCAGGCTGACTACATTTACTCTTCCCCAGTCTCTGCAGGGCAGAGATACATGGCACAGTAGCATAGGAGAACTCTCCAATATGTAATTGAATGCTCAAGTGGTACAGAAGGATGTTCCCAATAGCTTTTTCTCTGCCAATGATTTATTGCCAAACACACTGAAATAGTTAGTTTGGTATTTGTATTTGCCATAAATATTTTAGCTTTCCTCACCAATGTGCTATTTGCATTTAGGCTGCTAATCACATGTAAAAGTAACTTCATTATTTTTTCAAACCTCATTTGGTCATCTCAACTTCTGGACTGTGACTGCTTAATATTAAATTCACTACCTATAATATGGTTCCCTTCTGCACTAAGGAAGTGTCATATGGTTTTAGTCATTCATACTGCATTGCTGCCAGTATGCTGTCAGTTGTGAATACAAGATAGTGTAACTAGATATTAGGAAAACTGCAGTGAGCTGCCTCAAGAGATCTGAAATTTTTTACTTAAATTGTGAACATAGCTATATTTAGGTAGAGTTTTAACCCATTATTTGCATTCACGCCAAACACAGTTCTGCAGGAAAATATATTTTTGGTAAATATTACATCCCTATATTTTTTTACTGATTGTAAGCCAAAAAAGCAAGCAAAATGCTTTAGCTTCCATCCTCAAAGGTTCAGTCATTCTGGAAAACAGTCAGAATTATCACTCATAATATATATACAGCCTATGGGGTAACTTCCATCATTCCACAGCAATCTCACTGTTTTAGTTTTTCCA